CTTGCTCAGGCTGGTTTCGAACTCCTGAGCTCAAACAATCCGCCTGCGTCGGCCTCCCAGAGTGCTAGGAGTACAGGCGTAAGCCACTGCGCCCAGCCAGTAAGAATTATTTTAAATTGAGCTTTTTAACTTGCTTGCCACTCAAACCATATAAATATCCCAAAAATGATAAAAGACAGTGGGAATGTAGAAGGAAAAGGAAAATGGACTAAAAACTGGACATTTAGTTTAAGAACAAGTAAGAAATTTGACTTAGACCATAAATCTAATTCAAAAATCTCTCTATAGAGCACTTTGGAGTAAAGGGAAGATATGCAAAATATTTTCTCTTTTGAAATATGACACTATTGCTGTCTTTTAAACTAATTTCAATTTATGGATGGTCCCCGACTTACGATGGTTCAACTTATGATACCACAACTTTATGATGGTGAGAAATCAGTATGCATTCAGTAGAAATCATACTTACTACCATGTTCCATAGGTTAGGTGTATTAAACGTATTTTCAACTTAGGATGTTTGCAACTTAGGCTGGGTTTATTGGGACATAACCCCATCGGAAATTGAGGAGCATCTGTAGTCACATACGAGACAAAATGTGAAACGCTCAGGGCTTTTTTCTTTAAAGAGTCTCTTTAAAGTATCGAACATTTCCATCAAGATGTAAATTGCTAATGAGGTAAACTTGTTACAGGGTAAACTTACTATAAACTGAATCATAACTATAGTTGAGTTTGTTAAACATTAGATAATATTAAAGGTAATACTATAGTTTGCCCTTCATGCGTGTGTACGTGTGTATATATGTACATTTATTGAGGAATTTCTGAAAAAAATATTTTTATTATTTTCCTGATCCTGGAATTATATATTATATTATTATAATATATATTACATATCATATTATATATTATACTATATTTCAAGAATGCTACACCAAGAAATTCAGATGCAACGAGCACACGACTTTAAAAAAAACATAAATATAAAGCACATCACTTCATCTCACTAATGCTATCATTTCTAAAATTACCGTAATAATGCTTCACACATTCACTGCCACATTAGAAAAAAAAAAATTTTCCTTGGGGCCATGGTGTTTTATTACGAAAATAGAATAAAAACTTCAAAAACAAAATGATCCTTTCTGATTTAATGAAAAACTTATTTTTTATTGTTTTCTGTGCATGAGTTATATGCAACTTGAAAAATAGTTCTCGCAGCTCCCAAAGTAAAGAGACATGTGAATTACATATGCTTGACTCAAAACCCAGGGCTCAAGACTACAGTGAGTTAAATACAAGTCATGTAGCAGTTAATGTGTTAAAGGTCTAACTGAGGTGTTTTGCTTCCATTCTTGACAAAAACAAAGGTCACATATTTTCTAAATATTGCATGGTAACTTAAAAGTTCCTTTGCTTTGAAACTATGTTGTTGGAAACTAAAAAAAACTCAAAAAAAAAAAAGTCTCTGATAAGTCATTTCAATGGGGGTACGCATTTTTCTAAATCAGGAAAATGCAAGGTGAATTTTATATAAACAAGGCTGCTCCTCCAGTGTTGATATGACAAAAGGTAAGCAAGCCACGTCCTCAAATCTCTGAATGTCCATTTAAGACTCACTCCTCCCCTCGGCCCCCACCCCAAGTGTGAGGATTCCAAGTCTTAGTGGAAGTAGGGGTATGTAATGAAGCCAGGGTATGTAACCCGGAAAAATGTAAACCAGATTTACGCTTCTTTGGGCTGGGTGGAAGGCTGAATTTTAAGAGTGATAGGACTCCTTTGGTTAGTCATAATCTATTAGCATCTGGGACTCAAACCTTCTCTTCCTTCTGCATTGCCTGTTGGTAAAGGGAACCCAGAACCCGAAGCCAGAGATTGGGAGCGATTCTAGGCACCCCCTCACGTTCATGCTCCAGCCACCCACCTCCTCAGGCATCAGGTACCTTACTTTTCCAGTGACTGTTCCTTCCCTTTTGTGTTCACTCTCACTGCCTTAGTTTGAAATTGTCATCTCTCACCCAGACCATTTTAGTAGTCACAGTTAGGGGGCCCTGGAGAGCTTATATCCTTCTGGTCTACCCATCACCCTGCCAGCAGCCAGGGTGATGACTGCACAATAAAAATCTTATTTCATGTTATTCCCAACATAAAACACCACCAGCTTTTCACCGCAGGATGGAGCCCAGGCTTATCGGTATGAAGAGGAAGATTTCCACAGTCCAGCCCCTGCTTATCTTTCCAGCCTTGCACCCTGTGTGCTAACCACAAGCCCGCTGTGCTCCTGTTTGCTGGTCCCTGGCTCAGCCAGCTCACTGCGTACTATCCGAAATGCCCTACCCCGCGCCTGCCTGCTGATCACCTAGTCATCTTTCAAGGCCCAGCCCAACTCTCTCTCCATAAAGCCTCTCCTGTGGAATCAATCCTAGGCTCTTGTCTTTAGGGGCAATCTATTTGCAATCAAAGTTGGAGATTTGCTCCTAGTTTTAAAAAGAGAGTGATCCCCTCACTGACCACCAATAAGCACTGAGATAATGAAGTGAATGTTCTTATTCCCATGTATTTAAGGGTTAAGGTAGGCACAAACTCTAGGTCCGGGTCTACACTGCGGATTGTCCAGCGAAGGGCAGGAACTGTTTTCAGAAAACAAAACTTAGAAACCACAAAGCTTCTACTGCTAAGGCCACAGTCAATCTATACCATCATTTTAAGAGGGTACATTATGCTTTTTGCCCATTTTCTTTTGCGGAGTCGGGGGGCGCCATTTGCAGGATTTGTGTGGTTTGATGTCCTTCTCTCTATGAATTAGCCTGGGAAGGAGTCTGAACACTCCCACTGGTCTAGGCACCAGGAGCTCCATTTTGTCAACAAGCTTAGATTCACATAATCATTGACCACCACTTAAATGCTTATAGCTAAGCTAAATCTAATAATTGTCACTGGTATTAACACTAAAGCAGACATTTCTTGGGACCAAATGGCTGTTTAGACATCCAGAGTTTGCCAGCGGAGCAAGGAAATAAAACTCCCATAAAGCACCACCTGGTTTACTAGGTCATTGTATTGCATATGCCTTCATGAGCCTGTTCTTTCTTTCATTATTTTCATTTCTAATAATTTGAAATACTTGTTTCTTTTGTTCAATTTAAGGCAAAGTTCCAAAACTCACTGTCAGCATTTCTCAATTTTCCTCCAAATCCTCTATAGTTGATTAAAGGTCTTGGAAACTTCCTATTTGTCTAATTTTCTTAATCAAAGGACTGTAGATTAGATTGCAGCTTATAAACACATTTTTCACAGTCTGGAGCAACGTGTTGCCACAGATTTCTCCATGAAGAATTCAAACAGCACCGCTACAAATGCTTGCCAAACAGCTCACTTTTGCTCACCCAAAGAAATCTTGCTCAAAAAACATATACTCAAAGTACTAAACTCATTAAAAAATTAGTTTTGAGACACTGATAAACTAGATTTTATAACTAAGGGGACATTTCATATTGCATGACTTTCAAAATGGATGGGAATATAGATTTTTTTTAAACAAAATATGCAAATTGATAACTTTGCATATGCAGTTGCTAAAAAATTTCTTGATAGCCTTCCAAAACCGTACTTTTCTGCCCTCAAGATTTTTAAAGCTTTGGATGGTGTTTTAAGCAGTACTGGTAACTTATGGAATTTCAGCTGATGTCTTTTAACCCTTGTTCCGAAACTTAGAGCCCAAAGGAAGATGTCCAGTTGACAAACCAATTGTTAAAAGATGCAGTAAGTCTGAAAAACTACTTAAACATTGTTCTTAAAGACAACTAAAATTACTGCTTTGTGTTCTGTGATAGTAACCACTATTTCTAAAACTTTCTCAAGGTTAAGTCTGACTGGGAAGGTAAGATCCTTATCAAATACATGGGTAAAATCTGAGTCATGATTAGATTGCAAGACAAGGTCAAGGGCAAGAAATCACTTTTCCTAACCCCATCTAGTCTGTGCAATTTACCTCACGGCCCTCTCTGCCCTGTAGATACGCCTAACTATCAGGCATTTGTTTATGAAGAATTTCTCCTCGCATGCAAGCATTTCTGTCTTCATTAGTTTAAGGGTAGAGAATAAACACTAGCTAAGAAGCCACTGTATTAAAAACAAAACAATTTGTTGCTATGACTCAAATCAACTCTCTTTACGTGGCATTAACAGAATTAAATGGCAGTAGAAAAACCCTGGAAATTTAGAAAAGGTTCTGAAAAGGGAGTCACAAGTCAAGGGACCACAAAGATCTCAAAGGTACTAAGACTGGAAATTTCAAATAAGTCATAATAGGTACCACAAACAGTCTATAAAAGCAATGGCCAAAAGATTCCAACATTACTATTCTGTTGTAATCTATAAGGATTACCATAATAATCATGATTAACCTTTTCAAGGCATTATGTTTTTAAAGAGTCCATATTCACCGAACAAATGCTGACTGTACAATTACTTTCTCATCTAATCTAATAATCCATAGTATTTTAAAAAGAGAATATTTTATCAAATATTTTCTAGATGTCATAGCCAGTTTAACATTATATCCTGATAATCGGATACCCCTCTTGTATTTAACATGTACAATCCTATAATTATAGTCATGTTAACTTATTCTGTTAAGATTCACTATAATTTCTATGATATTTTCACATATGAACAAAAGTAAAAGCTTTTTCATTACTGATTAGGATTGGATGTGATAAGTGACCTCAAATGTTCTTTTTAGAACGCTTAAAGACAAAGAACTCTCAACAAGCACGAGTATCTTTTGAAAGGATACCTCGGGGATAGGAAAAATTTCTTTTTCCCAGTAAGCAAGAGAAGGGGAAGTGGGTGGTAGGAAAAGATGAAAGGTTTTCAGCGTTGTTAACAGCTTACAGTGTAGGTTCTTCCTACTTCTCCCTGACCCTCCCAGCTGTCGCCCTCCCCCCACAACGAGGATGCTGGTGAGATACGAGCGGGCGGGGATGTGACCGTACCTTCGTGGGTAGGCTCGGGGTCGGGTGTAAGGGAGATGTCATCCAGCTCCCGCAGGCAGAGCCATTCTCCATCCATAGACACCCGGAATTTGCAAAGGTAGATGGTCTCCATGGCAGCCTGTGTGATCTTGTCAGTGGTGGGGGTGGGCATATCAGTTGGAGGCGTCAGAGCAGACATGATGACTCAGCTGCGACCACAACACACACACACACACACACACACACACACACACACACACACCACAAAAATAAATAAGACCTCACAAAAAACCCCCAAATCCAAAGCTCTGAAACAAAGCTTTCAGGAAAAGGGGTGGGGGAGGTTTAAAAGAAACAAGGAAAAATACCTTATAGTTGAAGAACCAACTGCTCAAGATAAAGAATTCTATACTATCTTTTCTTATAAACAGTTCCTACCACATAGTAAAAAAAGATGATTCTTGTCTTCTCCCAGCTTCCTCTCCTTTTATCTTCCCTTCCTTATGCTTTTTTTTCACAGCTGAGCTATAGAGGCTTTAAATCCTGCCCGGCCGATGCTCCCTTTGCTGGCTTTGAAAAGCTGGCCTCGGCATGAATAAGTGAAAAATACTCCTTCTTTGTGCAGAAAAAAATACCCCCCCAAAAAAATGAACAAAAAAATACACCTAAATTTTCAATTTAACATACAAAAAAAAAAAGAAAAAAGAAAAAATCCTGAACTGCAGAAATCACTTCCAGGATCTGCTCAGATGAGCTGGGATGCTGAGTTCTCATAGGATTGGTCGTGCGCAGTAAGCAGGGTGGTGACCAAAATGGCTGACTAATGAACTGAACTGAAAATTCAGGCTCATGTGACCAGCTGCTCTGAACGTAGGGCGAGCAATTCCCAGGATGCTTTATAGATGCTGCTGATGCAGGGAGAGCAATTAGGCTGCTCTCTCTCATCCTGTACAACCCACTTTCAGACTGTGCTAGTCAAACTGTGATCAGACATAACACAGTGCACAGATCCTCATCAATTCCTCTTACTTTGGGATAAAAGGGCTGAATAACAGGAGGATAATTAGTACTGAATAATACTCCATAGCAAAGGTGGTAAAAGAGGCAGTTAGAATCATTTAACGAGCACATAATTCACCTTTATCTTTTATCCTTATCTACATAGCTATTAAAATTCTTTACTATGATAAAGGTGGTGTTTTAAGAAAAGCTAAGGCAGATTTTCAATTTAAATATATTATTCTCAGGCATTTATAATTTCCTTTTCCAGGAACCTGACCTTTTTTTAGGCGGGGCAGAAATGCAAGAATAAAACTTGAAGTTAAAAAAGTAAAATCCTTCCCAATGAATGCCAATTTCCCTCACTTTTTGTTATTGCTGTATTTACCAAGTTTCTGAATTAAACATGAAATATGTTTCTAAGCAGAAGATAAACTCATGTTATATTTTAAAAATCTTCCCATCCTGAATGTACTAAAGACACATTATCATATTTTGTTAAACCAACCAAAAAACACACACCTATATTATCAAATGAGGCATTTATACCTTGGTAGCAAAAGGGCAGGTATTTGCTTTGTGAGCTATATAAATAACAAAAAGAGGAATGCTAAGAATTTTCTTTGAAAATGTTTTAGAAAATTCAAAGAAAGTGTTTTTTTCTGTCTAAGGAGGAACATACAATTTCAAGAAATACAATCCAAGATTATTTATTCCCTTCTAGGCATTCTTATCAGAGGGATACCTTGATTTACCTAACTTTTGAAAACTAAAAGAAAAAAATTCCCCTTGAATATTATTAAAATCTCATAATTGCTTCATCCTAACTTGAGATTGAGCTCAAAGAAAACAATGCTAAGAACCAGATTCTGCAGATAAAAACAGGAATTTTTGTATTGTTAGGAAGACAGCCTGTAATCCCAGCATTTTGGGAGGCTGAGGTAGGAGGACCTCTTGAGCCCAGGAGTTTGAGACTAGCCTGGGCAACATAGCAAGACCCCATCTCTAAAGGTTTTTTTTTTTTTTTTTTTTTTTAAAATAGAAAGAAGGTAAACTAGGACAATGTTAGAACACATACATATGTATGCTTATTTATAATTGGGGGGAAATAAGCAAGTTACTAAGGAAAATAAAGTACTCTTCCTTTATTTATTTCTATCTCATATACCAGGCAGTGATGCAGGCACTGGGAACAGTAGCACTGAGACAGGATTTCCTTTTCAAGGAAGCAGAGTTTACATAAATGCTGAACACAAGCCTTCATTTAACGACACATTCACATTTAATTAAAGTTCAATTCCTTTCTAGCCAAACATATTTCCATCTTATACATTATAACATATCATGAATTATATCACCCAAGGAACAGGCAACCAAAGAAAAATCAGACAAATAGGATTACATCAAACTAAAAAGCTTCTACACAGCTAAGGAAACAATCAACGAAGTGAAGAGATAACCCACAGAATGGGAGAAAATATTTGCAAACTACCCATTTCACAAGGGATTAATAACTAGAATATATAAGGAGCTCCGACAACTCAATAGGAAAAAAAAATCAAATAATCTGATTAAAAAATGGGCAAAGGGGCCGGGCGCGGTGGCTCATGCCTGTAATCCTAGCACTCTGGGAGGCCGAGGCGGGCAGATTGTTTGAGCTCAGGAGTTCGAGATCAGCCTGAGCAAGAGCGGGACCCCGTCTCTACTAAAAATACAAAGAAATTAATCAGACAACTAAAAATATATAGAAAAAATTAGCCGGGCATGGTGGCACATGCCTGTAGTCCCAACTACTCGGGAGGCTGAGGCAGGAGGATTGCTTGAGCCCAGGAGTTTGAGGTTGCTGTGAGCTAGGCTGACGCCACGGCACTCACTCTAGCCCGGGCAAAAGAGTGAGACTCTGTCTCAAAAAAAAAAAAAAAAAAAAAAAATGGGCAAAGGATCTGAATAGACATTTCTTAAAAGAAGACACACAAATGGCCAACAGGCATATAAAAAAATGCTCAACATCATTAGTTATCAGAAATGCAAATCAAAACTACAATGAGATTATCATTTCACCCCAGTTAAAATGGCTTTTATCAAAAAGACAGGCACTAATGGATGTTGGCGAGGATGTGGAGAAAGGGGAACCCTCATACACTGTTGGTGGGAATGTAACTTAGTGTAGCCAATATGAAGAACAGTATAGGGGTTCCTCAAAAAACTAAAAATAGAACTATCATATGACCCAGCAATCTCACAGGTGGGTGTATATCTGAAAGAAAGTAAAGCAGTACATCAAAAAGATATCTGCACTCCCATGTTTACTGCCGCACCAGTCACAAAAGCCAAGATTTGGAATCAACTTAAGTGTCCATCAATGGATGAATGGATAAAGAAATTGTGCTACACATACACAGTGGAATATATATAGTCACAAAAAGGAATGAAATCCTGCCATTTGCAACAACATGGATGGAACTACAGAACATTATGTTAAGTGAAATAAGCCAAGCACAGAAAGACGAATCTCACATGTTCTCACTCATATGTGGGAGCTAAACAGTAAAAACAATTGATCTCATGGAGACAGAGAGTAGAATGATGATTATTAGAGGCTGGGAAGGGCATTGGGGAGGTGGGGATAAAGTGGGGATGGTTAATGGGTGCAAAAAAATAGAATGAATGACATTTGATAACATAACAAAGTGACTATAATCAACAATAAGTTAGGGAATACTTTAAAATAACTAAAAGTGTAAAATTGAAATGTTCCTAACACAAAGAAATGACAAATGCCTGGCCAGGCGCAATGGCGCACATCTGTAATTCTAGCACTCTGGAAGGCCGAGGTGGGAGGACTGCTTGAGGTCAGGAGTTTAAGACCAGCCTGAGCAAAAGCGAGACCCCGTCTCTACCAAAAATAGAAAAAATTAGCCGGGAATGGTGGCGTGTGCCTATAGTCCCAGCTACTTGGGAGGCTGAGGCAGGAGGGTCACTTGAGCCCAGGAGTGTGAGGTTGCTGTGAGCTAGGATGACGCCACGGCACTCTAGCCTAGGTGACAGAGTGAGACCGTCTCAAAGAAAAAAAAAAGAAATGACAAATGCCTGAATTGATGGATACCCTAATTACCCTGATTTGATTCACACTCTATGCCTGTATCAAAACATCATATGTACCCTATAAAGACATACAACTATTATGTACCCATAATAATTAAAAATTAAAAACTAAAAAAAAAAAATAAATAAATGGGACAATTCATAGTTTCATTCACTTTACACCATATAATACTTCAAAACATAGTAAGCAGTCATTAAAACCTTCAAATTATAATGAATAGCTACTGGAACCACAACTCTATCTTTTTTTGGAACAACTCTAAATGGTACTTTTGACATCAAAACTCCAGGTCACTGATACATTCTTTTTTTAAAAATAAGATTTACATATATATATTTATACACACACACACACACACGTACACACACACACATACTTTTTTATTTTATTTTATTCTGTTCTATTCTATTCTATTCTTGAGACAGGGTCTCACTCTGTTGCCCTATGCTCGAGTGCAGTGGTGTGATCATAGTTCACTGCAGCCTGGAACCACTGGGCTCAAGCGATCTTCCTGTCTCGGCCTCCCCAGTGGCTAGGACTACAGGTGTGCGTCACTACGCTTGGCTAATTTTTAAAATATATGTGTGTGTGTGTGTGTGTATATATACACTTATTTTCTTTTTTTAGAGACAGGGGTCTCACTGTATTGCCCAGGCTGGTCTTGAACTCCTGGCCTGAAGGGATCCTCCTGCCTTGGCTTCCCAAAGTGCTGGGATGACAGGCATGAGCCACAGCGACTGGCCAATTCTTAAAGCACAGAACAACGAATACATGAATAAATCTGAATGCTCTGTGATTGCCGGGGGTCCAATACCTGAATCGAGCCTTGTCACAAACCATGACAATCTCTTCACCAACCAATAAGCATTTACTAACCCTGAACAGGAGCTGGGGACTGATTACAACATACCAGCACAACAGGAACATCTAGATTAGTAAGCAAGAAACGTGGTTAACTTTCCTTCCAAAGGTCCTTTTCACCTCCCCTCTCTCCAGTTAGAGGACACAGACAGGGAAGCCCAGAGCAACTAAAGCTTTTGGCAAGGATGGAAAAACCTGCCTGCGCTAGTTACCCTTGACTTTCCAGTATCTATGGGTTTGAGGAGGTGTTAGCAGCCCCTGCAGAAATAAGAACTGTGGGTGGGGAAGAAAACCTGTACTTCTACTACCTGAGTTATACCTGTTCTTCAGGTAAACACCATCAAGTTTTCAGCACATTTACTCATTATTTGTAGAAGACTAATAAAAATAATTCTAAACACAGCTTAGCACTGTTTTTACATTTGGGTTTTTACTAAGTAATAGGTTTGAATATAAACATAATATTAAGCTGTCAATAAGGCTTACAAACCTTGACTTTTTTTCTCACATAGACACTAATTATTATACAAGCTGTGCTGAACTATTTTCTCATTTGATCTCGTTTGTGAATAATGGCACATATTTGTAAGGTGGTTGTGAGGAGGGCAAGAGTACCACCTGTGGCCCTAAAACAGAATCAACAGGCCTGTGTTCCAGCTGCTTCAACAGACTGAATTTTCTACATTATGACTGATTCAAAGCAAGCAAGAATTATATTTCAAGGTAGAAGTTATATTCCTCCTAAAGCGTATTTGTACTCAGCTGTTACAAAGATTGATTTGTCAAGCTCCATGTATGTCCCTGTTATAGCATGGA